GCGGACGTGTCGAAGACACGTATTACCACGACCACGACCACGACCACGACCACGACCACGACCACGACCCGAGACGAGAAGAGACGGACGCGGCGGCGGCGCGCGAGAGTCCCCCTTGTTCTCTATCACTCAACAAGAAGTGGGAAAGCCAAGCCTTATAACATTACTGATTATTTTGAAGGAAAAATGAATAGTCGGGTAACCAAAATAGAATCGTGTGAATAGTTGAGTGACTAAATACGTAGTTAACTCTTTTTTTTAATTCCTCGACTTGTTTAAAGAACGCTGCTATTGCAACCTTTAGGGCTATTTTGTCTGTGAATTCACCCAGCATCACAACTGATCAATCGGCTCTTCTAGCACTCAAATCCCATATGTCATGATCCGCACCATCTCTTAATGACCAACCGGTCCACTTCGGTCTCCGTGTGTAATTGGATCGGCATCACGTGTGGATCTCAGCACCACAGAGTCGCAGCCCTGAACTTGTCGGGTATGGTTCTCACGGGCACACTCCCACCTCAACTGGGAAATCTGTCTTTCCTTGCGCGGCTCAACGTTCGTCGCAATAGTTTCCATGGCGTTTTACCCGTCGAACTGACGACTTTGCGTCGGCTCACGGCTGAGGCACCTGAACCTCGGTAACCACAGCTTCCATGGAGAAATCCCGTCATGGCTCGGCCGGTTCGGTGAACTCCGAAGCTTGTTTTTGTACCCGGAACTACTTCGTTGGTGTTATTCCGAACCTACCAACCGACTCACCAGAAATTATATACCTCACATGATTAGCTAGAGATATTCACCAGTAGAGATTTTGTAGTGTTTCAAGGCTCTTGTATCCGTTTATAATCATCATTATAGAGAATTATTTAGTAATTCATTCTCATACTTGTCAATTAGAAATTATGTTTGTTCTGTGCACTAAAATCTGCTGGTGAATATCTCTAGCTAATCATGTGAGGTATATAATTTCTGGTGAGTCGGTTGGTAGGTTCGGCATATTTGGTAGCCGAAGTTCTCGTGTTAATTGTTCGTGCTCTTCTAATGAGAATTGGCAATGAAGTGTTTAATTTGTCTAAATGAAGTGGTTTCCCACTATCCTTGAAAAATGGCTAAAGCTCTGCTATATTGTTTGAAGAAAAAAAAAAGGAGGGCTTGTTCAGGATTATGCCATGAACAATTAATTTATCATCGATGGTATCGATGTTGGAGACTGATCTTAAATTCCGTTTCGTAGATGCAGCGTACGACAAAAACTAAGTATCTCAATGGTTATACTATGAGTTTGACCTGATAATGGTTTATCATGCTTTTATGTAGCCCTTCTCCAGTTCTCCTTGCCTTCTTTTGCTGAATTCTTTATTGCATAATCGGCCTTTTGCTTCTCGTAAAATAATACGATCTTAAACATTGGTATTTACGGATGGTTTCCGGGCAATCACTTAAAAAACGTGGTGCTTTTCGGTTTCCCTTCCCTCGATAAAAATAACGTCTTCGCTGCTAAGAGACTGCACAAGTTCTTTAAAATTCAAGAAAACAACGTAAGCCATTATTTCGAATGATTCCCTCCGTGAAAAGCTTGTGTTCTATACCGAGTATAAACCTTCATCTGTTGTTTGTTTCATCGGTCCATGATCTCTTCAGGTACACAGCCGATGCGTGTTAAAGGATTCGTGCGAGTACGCGAACAAGAGCGTATGGGGAATGAGTACCAATAGTTTGCTTTTGGTTGATGTAATGAAAGTTATCACTTTGTATGCTTTAGACCTACTGCCTGCAAAACTCGCAGTTCCGGAAGAAGTAAAGGATTCAATCAACCAGTCGCAGAAGGTGATTGTAAAGATGAGTCAATCCACATGACAAGTCTTGTAAAATGCTCCTACAGGTATCGTAAATTCCTCTTACTCGGAGGTAAGACGGATACGGGTATGTTTCTTTTCTTTTTACTTTTTCGATGTCTTTTGAGGATCGTATCTCCATAACTATGTCTGAATATATGTTGGACGAGTAGTCGACGGAAAATGAACTTTAAGGATCATAGTATAGCTTATGCTGGTGGCCTATGTTGCTCGGACTCTTCATTTTTCGTGAATTCAACGTTTGGATATGGAAATAGGCATAATGCCAAAATTAACTCCCAACGTTTATCAAAATGATCATTTGCCCCCGTATTCTATTTTTAGAGCATTTTGGCCACCCTAACGTTTCATTTTAGGGGGGAAAAGCCCCTAACATTTGATAGAATAGTCACTTGATCCCTTATTCTTTTTTCTAGGGCATTTTAGCCCCCCAACGTTTCATTTTAGGTTAAAAAAGGCATCTATTTTGGAACGTTAATCATTCGTAACGTTAATCATTCGTGTGTTAACTAATGATTTTCATCTATACAAGGAGCTTTTTGTCCCAAAGTGAAACGTTGTGAGGTTAAAATGCTCTGAAAAGACTATTTTGATAAACACTGAAGCTATTTTTGGCATTATGCCGAAAAACTAGTCGTATCCGTGTCCGACACTTACACCCGAGTCCGAATAACATAACTGGTGGCATTCTTGTGATTCATTTGTGTATATGGAACTCAAATGGTGGAGCATTTGGAAACTTGGTTTATCTAGAAGTTGACTAGTTTATGTCTTTGACTTTTTATGGAATCGTTCAACTGTCTCTTGTATACAAAGATTGGCAAAAGTCAACATGTTGGATTGTTCTATTGATTTCCTCAAAAGGAAAATTAAAATTTATATTCGCATAAGTAAATATATGATCTCATATACAGTTGAGGGATTTGAATTTTTTTAAAAAGAATGGTAAATTACACGTTTAGCACCTAAACTATTGGTCTTGGCCTATTTTAGTATCTAAATTTTTAATTTTTTCAAAAGCATATTTAAAAGTTTAGTTTTTGTTTCATTTTAGTATCTCGTTCAAAATTTAACATCATTAAGTTTTTAAAAAATTGAAAGTTTAGATACTAAAAGTTGCTAAAATTAATAGTTTAAGTATTAAATGAGTTAAGTTTTTAACGATGGGTATTAAAATGAAACAAAACTTAAACGTTAAGTATGATTTTTTAAAAAAATTAAAAGTTTAGATATTGAAACGTAAGCCTGTAAATGAATTGAACATTCAGCGAACCGTTCATGAATCGTGCGGCGGGAAGTTCATTTATTTATTAAATGAACGAACATGAATAAGATTTTGCGTTCATTTAATTAAATGAACGAACACGAACAAAGGGCTCGTTCGTTCATTTACGTTCGTGAACGTTCGATTATATGTTCGTTCATTTATGTTCGAACTGAGGGCAAGTTGAATATGTTACGAAAATTATTGAAATTGTTTGGATTTCAAGAAGATTGTTTTGTTGAACAAATTAACTTTAAGACTTTATTATGTTCATATAGCTTATTTATGATTTATGTATGTTTTTGTCGTATTCGAACAAATTAACTTTAAAGTTGTAGGTTATATTAATGAATTTTAAGTTGTTATTCTTGTTGTTTATTTTTTTACATTCATTTGTTGTGTTCGAATAAATTTATTTTTTGTGTTTGTGTTGTTTGTTTATGTTTGTTCGTTTACGTTCGTTTATGTTCGTTTATCATTTAAATGAACGAACATGAACAAATTATATTCCTTAATGAACGAACATGAACAAAAAAAAATTTGTTCGTTTATGTTCGTGTTCATTTATGTTCGTTTATTTATTAAATGAACGAACATGAACATACATCTGTTCGTGTGTATTCGGTTCATTTACAGGTCACATAATAGATTCGGTGTCATTGGAAGAGGGATTTCGCACGTGCATTGGATCCTTAAGTTGCTTATCGGATAGACTGAACGAGGGACGAGAGTCTAATTTAAGATTTTAAGAAACGGCAAAGGAGTTTAACGAAAAATGTTACGAAAATAATAATATTTTCGGTTGGATGTAATTAAAATGTTAAATTTTTCTTGATATTTTTTTTATTTTGCATCTTCTTCGTAATATTTTTGGTTGATAACGGAAAATATTATTTTATTTATAACATTTTCGATTTAATAAAATATTAAAAATAATAATATTTTAAGTTACATTTAACTTAAAATATTATTTTTTTTCAGTAATATTTTTATTGTACCTATTTTCTACTATTCTTTAATTTTAAATTAGACTCTCGTACAAAAGTTTCGTGATAGACTTAGACGGTTACTAAACTTATTAGCGAAGACAGTGTCCACGTGGCAAGCTAATGTAACACGTTGGTCATGCATAGAGATCAAAGTAACGCTTAACGTGTTGCTTTTGTGGCGTAAATTTTATCCCCATTTTCTTTACGTTGCCGCTCCCTATTGTCCCAACGGGTAAACTACACCGGTAGTCACTTACCATTTAGGATACTTTTATTTTAATCACTAATCTTCTAGGACCTAAATCACAGCCCTAAATAAAATCCCAAGATTCTCAATTGACTATAAAATTAACATAATTTGATTTCAAATTGATACAATGATTGTTAGCGACGAATAAAAAAGTTTTAACTTTTAATTTTAATTTAACGTTTATGGTCTAAAATTTTTTGATTCATCACTATTAGCTATTAGAATTACTTAAAATAAATGTATGTTAATCTTTTGATTAAACAGTCTTCCTATTTTCATATTGATCGATAGTCGCTCTATTTATTGAAAAACCGATCTTTTGTAGGGGTTATCGGTTTGGAACCTTAGGGTTTTATGTGAGAAAGAAGACTTTAACATGTTGTGTCTGTATGTCTTAACGATAACTGTTGACAATGACCATAATATTGGTGAATTAAAAGTTAAGTGACTAAAACACATGTTTTAAAAGTTTAGTGACAAAATATAAATTTATCTAAAGTTTTAGTGACTAATAATGTAATTTACCCTAAAATATTGACATTCAAGTGGCAAATTTGTAAATTGAGAGAGATCAGGGGACAATGATATAGCAGTATTAGCTGACCACCTCGCAAATCCAAGCCTTTTTTTAAATTCCTTGTTCTTTTGAGTTCTCTTCTTCCCGGGTTTTCAACTCTTCACAAAAACCATCCCGGTTTCCAAAACGGTTTCCTGTCCGGTCCGGTCGATTCAATGATTGGCCGATCCGAATCCATCTTCAACTAGATCTCATCAATTCACCTTCTACGGCTTTCCCACCTGTTCACCCGCCAGAAACCGCCGTCTTCTGGTTTCTCCGTTTACCGGTCTGAAAGTTAAAAAGCTGAAAAGTCTTTCTCACGGAGCCGTTGCAGTTTAAGTTCGTTAGCTTTGCTTCATCTTCTTAATTCATCATATTTTTCATTTTTGTTTTTTCGTCAAGTTTTGCTGAAATTCTACGATTTGAAATGACGCCGGGGACGAGGATGCCGACATGGAAAGAGAGAGAGAACAACAAGAGGAGAGAACGGCGGAGGAGAGCAATTGCCGCGAAGATCTTTGCCGGACTTCGGATGTACGGTAACTATAAGCTTCCTAAGCACTGCGATAACAATGAAGTTCTCAAAGCTCTTTGTAATGAAGCCGGTTGGACTGTTGAACCCGACGGCACTACTTATCGAAAGGTAATCAGTAATCACTATCCTCGCCTTAACCTCTTCTTTTTTTCACTAATTTGATTCTGGGTAGCGAAAAATGAAAATGATGCAGATGGAAGAATCAATTTCTCTTTCTTCGTAAAAGAATCTCGCTTAAATCTTGCATTTAGAGTTGTTTATTTATTTTTTCTTCAAAGATCGGAAGCAACAGAAAATTGGTTTTCTCCGGTATATTTAGCCGAAGAAGACCGTAATTATTGCCAGTGTAGTAATAAATAATCATCACAAGAAACAGATAAATCAAATAGAATAATGATCTGTTTTCTGAATTGTGCCTCCTTGTGCGGTGCATGTCAGTGTTCGGATGTGTCCAATTTTAGCTAGCATACGCCGGTGCCGGCGTGCCAAAGTTGAAATTCAACCAACAACAAGATCTGGTGCTAACGTGCACATCTCGTGGGAAGATCTTAGGTTTGTTTGAATGAGAAAGCTTAAAATACAGTTCTCAAAATCCTGTATTGTGACTCTGTGATTGAATTTAGAATTAGATACCATCTTTTACCATGAAAATTATCGAAGTTTCTTTGAGATGATGAGATCTTGACTTGAACCATATTAAGACCAGAGGGAAAGGGAAAGGAAATCTAGGTCCTCACGTGCTTTGTGACATTTTACACGTGATTTAGCTGGCAACCTGAGAGGTGGTCCAACCACCTTTCTCCTTTCCCCTTTCTGGGTTCTTGGCAATATTTATGTGTATTACTTCAATTCATCATTTTTTTTCTGGAAGTATTCGAGTTCGACATCTATGTCTAATGCATACTTGGACATTATTGGCATGTGAGTATGATCTTGTGAAATATATGAAAAATTTAGGGGGGAAAGCGAATTTATCCGTAGCGGACACATATATTTCGACCTCTTGGCCGATTTAGTACCACATTTTAGCTTACTTCGAAGTTCTTAGCTCGATCACTCAACTAAGCAAAGACTGTATAAGTAGTTAACAAGTATGGCCTACTATTTTTTTATAGAAGTTTGAATCAGTTGGATGATTGATAGGACTTCAGCTTAAAGGGAAAAGTTTAGGTCATTATCATGTATAAAAACAACTAAGGTTTTTGCTTCCTAGCAGATTGAGTTAATATTTGTCAAATGCATTTCTAAACAAGCATGAAGGGGGTGATATGTAAAGCGCTGGAATAACAATGAATATATGATGCTAGCATTAGGCCGAATTCAACTGCAGATGTCTATGGTTGAAATTGATTTACATTGGTAACTAGATTGTTGACATAGTAAAGAAAAATGAAGGGGGTGAACAGTGACCCTAGTTTTTTTTTTTTTAATAAACGACAGACCTTTGTATCTTATCAACTTCTGGAATGAGTTACAGTCATTGGAGCTGCTATCTATTGAAATATCATATTACAATAATTGAGAATACTTGGCTTGCAGTAATTGCACTGACAACTATCTAATTTCCACAGGGTTGCAAGCCTTTGGAGCGCATGGATATGGTAGGCGGATCTGCAACAGCGAGCCCCAGTACATCTTATCACCCGAGCCCCTTTGCTTCTTACAACCCAAGCCCCATGTCATCATCCTGTCCAAGCCCAGCTTCGTCTTCGTATGTGGTTAATCCCAATGGTGATGGGAGTTCTCTTATCCCATGGCTCAAAAATCTCTCATCTGCATCCTCGTCGGTGTCGTCTTCCAAGCTTCCTCATATCTATATTCCTAGTGGTTCTATCAGTGCTCCTGTCACCCCTCCATTAAGCTCACCAACAGCTCGAACCCCACAAACGGAAACTGTTTGGGAGGACCAACCTGCTGGTCCGGGTTGGAGTGCACAACAACACTCTTTCCTGCCCTCTTCAACTCCACCTAGCCCTGGTCGTCATATGATTCCTGACCCGGAGTGGTTTGCCGGGCTTCGAATTCCTCGTAGTGGGCCAACTTCTCCCACATTCAGCCTCGTCTCCTCAAACCCCTTTGGCTTCAAGGAGGAAGTTTTAGCAGGTGGAGGATCTCGAATGTGGACTCCGGGGCAAAGCGGGACATGCTCTCCTGCAATAGCCGCAGGATTGGATCACACAGCCGATGTCCCCATGTCCGAAGTCATTTCAGACGAGTTCGCATTCGGAAGCAATGCAACGGGACTCGTAAAACCGTGGGAAGGAGAGAGGATTCATGAAGAATGCGGATCAGATGATCTAGAACTCACTCTTGGCAGTTCCAGCACTAGGTGAGTATCGGATATAGATATGTTCCGAGTATCATACCTGTTTAAGTGTCGGACAAAAATATTTTCGAAACAAAAACATAAAAAAATGGGGATAAATGGTACGACTTGTATGATTGATTGATGTCTGTCTTTAGTTGTTTTTGCCATAGGATGAAACGCCTTAATGACCGGTTAATTTTACTGCTTTTCCCAATGGTCAGTAATCTATATATTTTACTTGACATGTCATGTTGTCATGCTATGTTGACAAAGAACCAAATGTATGTAAGTTGGTTTCTTGTTTTAAATACATGGATAAATTACTGATTTCATCATTGAACTTTACTTTCTCTTATATTTTGTTCACTAAATTTTAAAAGTTTTTAATTCTCATTGAACTTAATACATTACTTTTTTTTCGAGTCTCTAAACTTTAATCTCTCGTCTATTTTGGTCACTTCGTTGTTAAATAGTTAAAATGATATCGTTTTAAAAAAAATCATTTAAAAAAATCACTAAAACGACGTCGTTTTGCATCTATGTAATAGTCTTTTTAACGCCGTTAATTATTTGATGACTGAGTGACCAAAAAATGCAATAAATTTAGTTAAAAGTTCAGTGACCAAAAAACCCAAGTTCAGTGAGGAAATTAAAGAGATTTAAAATATAATAAGTGAAATAGGCGGAGAGTAAAATCCAATTGCCAAATTTGTAATTTACTTTAAATACATTTGGTTATTTGTTGGGGGTCTATTTTTTTTTAAATGCAACTACTTTTATTAATAAATAAGAAAAAACTAAAATTACGATAAAAATCGTAAATTAGATATATAATTGAGAATTTTTTTAAATCATTAAGAAAGTACTCACTCAATATCATATCATGATCATACAAGGAAAATATGAAAATCTCATCCATAAAAACTTGAACAATAGGTAGATACAAACATATTTGATTGTTATAGAAAACCAACCACAATAGGGGATTTAAACTACTGAAAGACCACTAATTAAACGCGAATCAGAGTCAAACATCACGAGATAATTATTTACGATCGCAAGTTTCGTATTCAAATCCAATTTCAGTATCCAAAACAAAAAAGATCAACGGGATAACAAATCAATATCATCTTAATCAGTCGCAGTCAAATCTAACCCTGTAAGAAAATAAAAAAGCGTACCAAAAGCCAGAGAAAAAGCGTACTATAAAAACAGAGAAAAGTGTGCTATGAAAGTAGAGAAATTCTATCATAAACACAGAGCTATTCTAAAAGAAAATTTTTATCATAAAATTGCCTTAAAATGGTTATGGTTTGATACGCTCTTCTATTGAACACGAACCTAGGTCATATCAGAACAGGATTATAATAGAAGTAATAATCTAAATTGAATATTCAACAAGATTACAGAACTATACGGGTATTCACGGGCTCTCGCGGACGAGCGGATTGGGAGGAACCAAGACGAGCAGACGAACGTTCAGGAGATCCACAAGTACCTTAATTAACGACATCGTAAATTAATCAGTTAATTGACTTTAAATTAAATTAACTTAATTAAATCACTTACATAAATATGAATGTTCGGTTTTGCATGTCAATTTGGAGGTTTTAGGGTTCGAATTTGACAAAATAGACTCCGGATTCGGACTCAAGACGTTGAAAAACATCTAATAAAACATTTCGAAAAATTCAATTTTTTTGTCAAAGTCAACGGTCAATGGTCAGACCGATCAAAGTTATCAGTCAGACCGGTCAACGATCAACGAGTCGGGTTGATTAGGTTCGGATCAAACAGACCCGGTTTAGACCTATTTTGGTCCGGTTCTAGAAGGTTTCCAGGGTTGGGGGACAAGCCCCACGTGCACACGGCAGCGCGTGACGACGACGATGGGCTCGTGGTCGGCTGACTACTCCAAAATCACCAACACAGCTTTAACAACATCAATTAACTAAAAAATCAGCCAAAAATCGCAATAAATGACCGAAATTTAGATCGTAGCTTACCCAAGTCGACGGTCAACAAAAAAGACAACTATGGATAACGAACCCGGTTGGGTTTTGTGCGGTCAACGATGGTGAGTTCGAATTTGGGGGCGGTGAGGCGAGACGACAACAAAGGTGGTCAGAATAGACAAAAGAACAAAGCGACGAGGGGGGGGTTTTGGCATCGGTTGCTTCTCTCGATTCGGCAAAACGATGTCTGATATTAGTGAGCCAACGAACGAGTTAGGTCGCGGGAGGACGCTGGAGCTGGTGGTGGTGCTGGAGCGTAGTAATGGTGGCCGGAACGGGGTGGATTTAGGGAGTGTGGCGGCTAGGGTTCCTAAATTGAGAATTTTATATAATTTAGGGTTTTAGTTCTCGATACACGAAGGAGATTCAATTTGGGTATATAATTCCGGGTTAAAATAAATAAAACATATATTTATTATTTTTAGTCACAAATAGTGACCTGACCAGCCCCCTATCTCCTATTTTTTATTTTGATGTCAGGTTAGATATGGGGAAAATACGAGATTAGTCTCTGAACTTCCTGAATTTCAAAACTAACCCGAAAATTTTAGAAACTTATAAATTTATCCCTAAAATCAATTAATTAAAATTAATAAACTTTTAAAATTAAACTGGGGTGTGACACTCACCAAAAGTACAAATATGATGGCTGTAAATTTTGCGCTAGGGATATAAGCAGCTCAAACTACACCATTATTCATGATAAAGTGAGAAACAATTGCAGTAAAAAATGATTTGGAATGTGAGAATCTCATGTAGTTGATAAATGCAAATTAGTCACTTGTTGGATTCTTGATTTGCATAACGGAAATGATTTTATTGAATATTAATTAGTTTTGATAGTTGCCCCTTAGATTATGTACATTTCAGTTATGTTAATTTGTGTTATGCGCAAACTTTGTTACTTGAGGATGTTATGTAGACTAGTACGAATATCAAATATGAGTATAATTTGGATATAAGTATATTCAAACACAAATGGTTGTTATTCCTAGCAGTTTCGGGTTCGAGTACCAACAATTATAGCATAGGTGATTGAACGTTCATTGTCGAATGGTTTAGAATATTTAGAATATATGTTATTTTGTAATCACCTTAACTTATCAGGAAAAAAATATATATATTCAAAGACAAGGGACTTTCCCGAACTCCCATCACAGTTTTGTTTACCGTCGTCATCGTAACAACATCTTTACCCATCTGCCACTATCATTGTTCTTCTGTAAAACACTCACCCTTTAGACGCCATCCTTTCGTCGTTATCATTGATTTTCTCTCTCCCCATTTGTCGCTCTCACAGTTGTTCAACGTCTGTTGACCCTAATTTTTAGTCGTTCATCAAAAACCTTGTAAGGAGTATGTAGTGACATTCAGACACAGACATTCTCATAATCGTTCGTTTGTCGTCACGTTATTCTCATAATCGTTCGTTTGTCGTCAAGTTGTAAGGGGTCAAAGAGGGGTGTGTGACGGACATAGAGATATGGTGGTGGCAACTGAGCAAACGAAGATGACGACAATTGGGATTTGGGAGAGGGATTTTTTTTATTGGACCAAATTAAATGATTTCCAAAAATTAGAGGTTTTTTTTAAATTATTCAAATTAGAACCAATTTTATGAAATATGTGAGTTTTGATATTTAAAATTATTATTATATCATATTATGTCACTATTTTTGTTAAAATCGACGATCAAACTTAATGAAAACAGAAATGAAATATAACGTTTGGTGTGCATCTAAAAACTAGTAATTGAATGACCAAAATTGAAACAATATAATAGATGGTTGACTAAACGAGTAATTTACCCATAAAATAATAGTTGACACTAACTAAATTACGTTAAGAAATGTCATTTCTTCTTTCCTCTGCTTTTATTCTCGAATCTTCTCTCACCTCTCCAAACCTCAACTCTCTCTCTCTCTGTCTTCCTTCCCCTTTTGGTTCATCAATCGAGGCTCGCAAATGGCCAACAGTAATCTTCCTCGAAGAATCATCAAGGTTACTGTTTCGATCTATCATCCGATCCTTCTGGATTTCTCTGAGTTGTTTGCTCCCCGGGAATCCTCAATTCTTTTGTTTTTGTTTTTTTTTTTTAATTTTCTGCGTTTCTAGAGATTTGTATGGTAAGTGAAGTTTTTAAGGCTATGATGAATCGAAGTCATCTGCTAATTGTTATAAGATCGTTTTCTGAGATTGAAGAAGGCACTTGGTTTTTCTTTTCCTTTGTGAGAATTTTGCTTATTTTCGTACTTTAATTTTGGTTTCTTCATTTTTGATCGTAACAGGAAACGCAGCGTCTCCTAAGTGAGCCGGGTAATTACTTTGCTTTTTCTTTTCTGGTTTTTTAATAGAAATTATTGTTGAATTTTGTTTAATAATTTGACTTTTTTATTAAGAGTTTTTTTTTTTAATTTCTTTTTTTTTTGCGATAGCACCGGGAATTAGTGCTTCACCTTCAGAGGATAATATGAGATATTTCAATGTGATGATCCTTGGTCCCACTCAGTCTCCATACGAAGGTAGTTTGATTTTTTCATCTAATTGTTGCAAATGTTTATGCTTTGTGTTAGAATTTATAAAATTTTACGGTTGATTGAATAATAGTTTGGCTGGGCTGATTTAATTCGTAAAGAGAGGCACGGATGCAGATTATCTATTACCGTTAAAGTGATTTCTGTTTGGACTGTGGTTAAAACTTGGAAAGCTTTTGATAAACTGGTTTTCCACTGTTCATTCTTCCTATTTTCTTGCTTATTTTCCATCTTTTTGAAGAGAAAAATGACCAATGCTTCTTGAAGCTTAGGTTAGATCAAATTAGCGTATTTTGCTTAGTCTTGTTTGAAGCTTAGGTTGATTGAATTAATTTTGCACTTATGTATAGGATGTGACGCCTTTTTTGTTTGAGATTTTAGGAGGGGTTTTCAAGTTGGAACTATTTTTGCCTGAAGAATATCCCATGGCTGCTCCCAAGGTACTCGACTTTAACTCATTCATAAAGCTAGCATGAATTTCTGTTTCTGCATCATTTGTTTCTAAGGTGGATTTTTTATTCTTGCATATACAGTACTACTTGGCTTCATCTGAGAAATCTTAAGACGATTTAGAATGCTTTGGTTTGCGTTAGAGAGAAATCTGTTTCTTACTTGGTGATTCTAGAATGTAGTTAATTGCCTTTGGCTTGTGAAGCTTTGCTCTATAAACCTGCTCTATTCTTTCTTGATACGTGGTAAATTAAAAAAGTATTTTTTATTTCTCTCTCTCCCCCAGTATCTTTTTTTATCTATAATTGGTAGGCACTTCATTTATGTCCTCCTGTTAACGCAACGAATTGCAACTTACCATTTGGTTCTCTTGCACTGGTGATTCACGAGTGTGGTATATTCATAGAATTGCCAACCGACAGTTGTTGGAGTTAAGTGTCAATTTATTGTTCTTAATTCTGGGAAGCTTTCTAGCATCCACTAATGACATCCTTTTTGGTGTATTTTATACTTTTGTCCACCTTAACCAAATTTGTATAACAGGTTCGATTTCTTACAAAGATATATCATCCTAACATTGACAAGGTTTGCACCTGTTCCTTCTTTTGTCATTATTATTTGGTGTGAAGGTGTAACGGTTTGGCTCTAAGGGTTAAACATTCTTGCAGCTTGGGAGAATATGCCTTGACATTCTCAAAGACAAATGGAGTCCAGCTCTCCAGATCCGAACTGTACTTTTGAGGTATTATTATTCTCTGTAATATGCATTTCTGTTGTTGTAAACAGTAAACCATTGTAGGTCACGTGGTCTTGAATATATCATGCCTGCTGAAACATATTTATAACACATTTTCATGTTGCCGGGAAAATAGTAAACGGGGAAGTTGAATATTTCTTTCCTACACTGCTCTATATATGTAATTTTTTTTTCTTTTGGTTCCGGAAAGACTTATTTGCAATTTCAAACAGAAAAAATTGTATTAATACTCTAGAAGTGGTTTCATTTGTGTCTGGGTTGGTAGACGTTACCTTTATTTATGGCATTATCTTGAGTTTTAGGATAATTAACTGACACTATAGTGTTACTCCAGCATCCAGGCACTTTTGAGTGCTCCAAATCCCGATGATCCGCTTTCTGAAAATATTGCTAAGCACTGGAAGTCAAATGAGGCAGAAGCCGTTGAGACAGGTAAAATATATAGCTGAAGTCTTAGATCATCAGGACCGGTTCAATGATGATTCGGTATTATTCTTCCAATCGACTTCTACTTGATTCCTTTCTTACTGTTTTGTAGCTAAGGAATGGACCCGTTTATATGCGAGCGGCGCATGGAGACCGGTGGAATCGTCTGCCCTCATAAAATAGCATTTTATGCAATGTAAGCTGCTCGATATCGGTTTCATAACGAAATTTGGTTGAATGATGTTTGAAAGAGTTTGATATTTGCAAAAGCTTCCAGTTGGTACCTGGTAAAGGTCATTATCAGGGTTGGAAGCGGTATATGAACTTGTATGATAATACACATTGTTATTCTGAAACTCCCAATTGATGAACTAAGGGACTAATTATTGTCTAATATGGTTATTTCAAATTCCCGGCACTCGAATTTAGTCATCTCTGTTCGACGTATTCCTATACAGATCTGCCTATGCTTTTTTGAATTCATCATTGAAAAAAAACATACAAGTGCTTTTATGTGGACAGCAATTATTTTTTTTGGGTAAATTACGTGTTTAGTATTTAAATTATTAATTTTGATCTTTTTAGTACTTAAATTATTAATTTTGATCTGTTTTAGTATCTAAACTTTTTTTTTAAATCATACATAAAATTTAGTTTTTGTTTTATTTTAGTACTCTTGTTCAAAATTTAACATTAAGTTTTGATTTTTTTTTGAAAGTTTAGGTATTAAAATAGACTAAAACTGATAGTTTAGTAATTAAACATGTCAAGATCTAACAACGGAGTCTTAAAATAAAATAAAAATTATATTAAAACAAAACAAAAATTAAACGTTATGTATGATTTTAAAAAATTGAAAGTTTAGGTATTAGAATAGGTTAATGTGATTAATTTAGATATTAAATGCTTAGTGAACATTTTCATAGAAGCAGTTTGTATTTTCATATAAAAGAAAATATTAAAAATTATAATGAGGTTTATAATCACAACGGACTTAGGGTGAGTAAATCTCGATTTGACTCGAAGAAACTTGACTCGAATTGACTTCGAGTCACAATTTTATAAACTCGACTCAAAAAAAATTCAAATTCAAATCGAATTGTGAAATGCTACTCAAATAGCTCAAATTTCTAAGTTATGAGTGAATTTATTTTTAAGTTGGAGTCGAGTCCTAGGACTTTGTATGATATATGT